ATTCTTCAGCGTTACTCATCACTTTAAAACTCTTAAACGTCCGGTTGCTCGCTCTATTTTCCCTTATCTGATCATCACATCCTGTACACAAACTGTCGCTACTGCAAGTTCCTCTATTCTAATCTAAAGTCACCTTTTTAACAAGAAAATCATTATAAACGCCTATTCTACTAAAAGATCCAAAAGAAAACAACCACTTTAATCAATTAAGTTTAAGCATATAAGCAATTACTCCTGCATGCATTTCATCATAGCTAAATGCTGCCTAGAAACCACTCCTGTGTATTAACACTAACTTCATTTTAAAACCTCACATTTCCTATGTTATAACCTGTTTTTGGTATAGCCTTTTTATTTCATTTTGCTCATTTTAATGTAACAATACCTTCTAATTCTAGTTTATCAGACGTAACCAAAATATGTGCTTTCCTTCCTCTTTGGTCCGTCTTTAAGTTCAGCTAAATGAATTTGAGGCCTTTTGCCTGGAATCAATACTGTCATGTGTGTTTCTGGACTCTGTGTCTGTAAGCGTGTGCAATCCTTCAATAACTCATATCATCCTCACAGTAGATTGGCTAATCATAGCGCTAGCCAAAGGCTCGTGACCCTCAAGAGACGAATTGAGCCACAACTCCTTTAAAGGCACAAAATGCAATATGTATAAAAAATCATTTCTACTTATAAGCTCTCCCCTTTATCCTAAAAATAAATCTATGTAATATCTGTATGTAAGCCTACATTATAACCACTACTTCTAGAAATCAAAAAAGAAATCAAACCTGTTCTACTCCTACAACCCTCACTAATTTTCCCCAAAGCATATCTTTTTGTCAACGTGTCCCACAATTTCCCTTTAAGATTTGTATACAGCTTTAAAAACACTGGCATTGTATCTACTAAACAGGATTCAGTTCACTTTAATCCTTTAACCTTAACATAAAAATAACAGTTTCAGTTTTACCATATCCAAATGATCAAAAACCCCAAAAAGTCCTAAAATGATCCTAAATTATTAAACAATTAAATTATTAAATTCCCCCTTTATTTCGACACAAAACTAAAAATACTCAGTTTTCCCCACTCATGATTCAATCTATGTCATAAAAATAAACTTAAAACAGAAGAGTTTATCAGTCATGTGTTTCTTCAATTAATGGTAACATGAGTTACATCAAAAAACATTTCCCCTTTAGCATTTGGCATTCTCCCAACAATATACTATAATCCCATAATCTAACCCCAGTCAATAAAACAGAAATTTTCTCTGGTAAAAGCAAATTGTTTGTCCACATTTATTCATCCCCACCTTCATCCAGTCACACATTCACTCACATGCATTCACACCATATTTTTTGCTAATAGTGGAGCCTCCCGCGCAAGTGATCAGATTCTCCACCCTCAGCAAAATGAGCTCATTTATGTGTTCTATTTTCCATAGGAAAATATTTCTTATGCTTTTGGACTGGATTGACTCGCTACAATCCTTTTAGACAGGGACTTACGACCTCATCAGGTCCCCACAGGTAGCTTTCTCCTCAGCCAGTTGTAATCTGGAAAGCCCACCTTATATTTGCTCTTCCCGAGAATTTGTCAGCGCTGTTATTCACTGTTGCAGGCCTGCTTAGAACAAAAATGAGAAAAAGAGAGCTGATTATTAGCTCATGAAAACACAAACAAAATCACCTGACAGGTTTTCTCTAAGTGCACTGTTACAAAAATAATAGGCCCCTCTTAGACATGTCCATGTTTACTAAAACTCCCTCTATTAAAAACAAAAACAACAACAACCCGAACCTCACTCACAGAATCAACCCATCACCACTACAACCTCAAAAACCTTAAACACACAAGTATTGCCACCACATAATTTCACCTCCTCAATACACCGAAAGTCTTGTTAAAACCACACAATTTGCACACAACAATCACCCCCTTTATGCACTTTAACATACTTAGATTCAACATAAGACATAACCCCCTTACAACAACATATAATCACTAAACTATAAATTTCCTATCCAAATCTGCACTTCTCTTCTCTCTGCTATGCTTCCTCTCCTGAAAGCCTCAGTCACACACACAGGAAACTCCTTCGTCACCACTCACTCCAGCTAATTTGCATACTGAGTCATATCTCAAGAAGTTGCCGTAACAAAAGAAACATATGTTTAAACATTACCAACTTATTAAATTATTTTATTTCTTTCTACAGTGATCACTAGTGTTGATCACTCAGTACCAGGGCACTCCTAAGTCACTTTTTTAAAACTACTTTAATCACTTTTTCTTTTTCCATAACTCACTCCCTTTGTCATATAGCTTCTTTGAGTTATTCCTCAACTTCAAACTCAAATGTATTTTATTAAACATTCACACCATTCTATCACTCATACAAATAGCAAGCTGTTCTTCATTGCGTATGTTTGTGTTCTCAGCCAGGTTTAATCAATGTCTATGCATTAATCTCCACGAGCTTGTCCTTGTAAGGTTAATGCATTTTCTGCTTGTGTATGTGAATTTGCATATGTTGCTTTTGCAGTGTTTCAGACTCCTGCACAATTCGCCGCTTAAGCAGTCAGTTTTCTTTCCCAAATTTGCTAACCCAAATTTTAAGTTCCCACCTTATTAACAGCATTCCTGGTCCTCAGACACAAGTTAGGGCCCACTTGTCAGGTTTATGGAGACATGGCGCTGTGAACAATTCAACCAGAAACTTGCCTTGACATATCCAGTCATGTTGACCTATAACTTTCTTCCGACCGCTGCACGTGGAAAATTGATCCAGGTCTGTTTCGCCCCTGAAGAAACACAACTAAGACATTTTCATTATTATCATGAGTACTTAAACTACCCGTTTCCCCCTCTCTGGTCAGAAATACCAACTTATGTTATGTGTATAAGTGTAAGCAGGTCTTCATTGCTTTTCCTATGTATGTTAATGTTCAGTGAGTGTAAGCTGCTTTCTTCATTGCCTCTGTATGTTATAATCAGGTTTAATTCATGCATCTTTTCACTGATTTCTTAATTCAAAACTATCTCACTTCTGATTCTTTCCAGAAATAATTTCACATGTAACACTTTGTGTATGTGTGTTTTCTATTCATTGATGTAATTGTCAGTTGTTTTCACTCTTTATTTTACCTTCTTTTTGTTTACCTCTTTAGTTTTCTGGTGGACATCTCTAAACACCATCATGAGTTCAGGCTTCGATTTCAATCCAATTACACCCTGTATTCTCACAGTCGAACTCGTCCGGCTTCACCTCTCACTGGTCCCCGTCCTCTTCTCTCAGTGTCCTTTTGTTGTCTTGAATTCTCCAGCAAACACAGTCCGTTTCCTCTCTGTTTCTCTTCAGTATTTTCCTTTTGGATTAAGTTCCAGCCTGGCAAAATATCACAGTCCACCGTGCATGTTTCATCACGCGGTTTCTTCTTCTCTGTTGATCCTTTCAGTCGTCGCTTTCAAGATTACTCCAAGCATGGCAAATCTGACAATCAATGTCCAGTGCTTTCCACAGCTCATTATCCCACTGTCCAACTGCCCAGCCTGTAATTTACAGTGCATGTTTCCATCTCGTGGTTCCTTCCATGCTGCTGGTCCCGTCAGTTTGGTTTCAGTGTTAACAGTTGCACTGTCTTTTGGCTGCTTGTAAATTCTTATCAAGTCCACGATGTTCTGTTGGTCTTCATCAGGAAATTAACTGTCCTTTGAGCTTCTTCTCAGGATGGTGATGGGAAGGTCAAGCTATAAAATTTTAAGCCAAAATCTGGCCTGTTTTCTCCCAATTATGCTACTCTACTGGTTTTGGTTTTGGAATGAAGACACAGTTCCAAAAGCAAATACACTTGGTCGATGCTGAGAGTGGTCCTGTTGCTGAGGTTGGTGTCATCCTGTAATCCTCCAACGCTTCTGTGACTGGGATGCAAGTGAAGAGAGATGTAACGTCGTATGAGACCATGGTTTCATCTGCCTCCATAATGACATCTCTCACCTTCTCAACAAAATCCAGGGTGTTCTGGATGTGGTGTTCAGAGCTGCCCACCAGCGGGTTGAGGATCGAAGCCAGAAACTTTTCATTTACGTGAAAAGGGAAAGACCATCTCTGAATCGAGGAGGGGGCCTAAGGGTACATCTTTCGCCATCTTACAATGCTGTGATTGCAGCCATTCCCCAACTCTCTGTGGATGGTATGGCCATTGATCAGTGGTCTTTGATCAGTGGGTTTTGGTCAGTGGTTGTTGATCAATGGTCATGAGAATTTTCATAATTATGATTAAGGAACTGATCTCCCAGTCCATTGTTCCTTCAGTGGCCTCGTTTCAGTCATTATGCAAATTTACTGTTTATAAGATTTGGGGAAACCTGCAGTCAGCTGAGACTGAAGAAGTCACTTGGATGAGTGACGAAACGTTTCTCCCACGAAACGCTACGTCCAGATGAACAGAATCAACTTTTGGAGATATTATTATTATTATTATTATTATTATTATTATTATCATCATCATTTCTGACTATGGATTGATTGTTCTTGTGATAGGATACAGCTTTGTGATTTTATTGAATGTTGCTTTATACCTTGGGGCGTAGGTGGGTAGGAGAAATTTGAAAAATTGTTTTGCTCCACCTGGGTTTATCCAGTAGAATGATCTATTTTATACTTGGGCAGCTGTGGTTCCAGAGGTAGAGTGAATTGGATGGTTGTTGGCTCAGTACTCTACTTGTCTACATGTCAAAGTGTCCTTTCGCAAGATACTGAATCCTGAAAAATGCCTCCAGTATAATTTTCTATTTGATATGAATAAGTGCTGGATAAGTGAACAATCTAGCCTGGTATGTCAGTAGGTTGATGTAGCAGCTTACTAAATCCTAGGCCTTAATAAATATAGACAAGGACAAGCATAAATACTATTTCATCTTACCTGAGCTTTGTTGGCTCTGTTTTCTTCAAAAAGCAATCTTAAAGTTTGTTGTTGAAACTTTACATATTTTTGTTTTGGTAGAGACAGTAAGAGCAATGACCTATGTGATCAACCAAGGCATGTCCATGTACTGGGGTACATCACGATGGACCTCAATGGAGATCATGGTAAGTTTTAAACTTAGCTGTGAATCTATCCATAGTCTGAATTATGTGAATACTGTAGATTTATTGTTGTTTTCATGTGGCTAGTGTTGGTCTGAATTAGGACTAAATAGAACAAGTTCTTAGTGTTCATTTCATAAATACATGAAATAAATCATGAAATCAGTGCAGGTGGCAAAAGTATAGACACTGTTTACTGACATAGAACACCAGATACTTGTTAAAAATACTCAGGTAAAAGTAAAAGTACTTATTGAACCTATTGACTCAAATAAAAGTGAACGTACAGGCTCAGAAAAGCATTCAAAGAATGAAAGTAAAAAGCAGGACCTGTATTAATATAATGAAATAAATTAGTGCATGGTGATACAAAAACTGCTTTTGACCTCCAAACCTAAGTAGAGCTCTGAGGTTTATTGGTCTACCCTCTACATTGGTGGGGAGGAGGTAGAAAGGGTAGAAAGCTTTAAGTTCCTCAGAGTCCACATCTCGGCTGACCTTACCTGGTCCACAAACATTTCCACCAGGTAGGGAAAGCACAACAAAGGCTGTTACCCCAGAGACTGCTAGTAAACTTCTACCCCTCCACCATCGAGAGCCTGACTTACTGCTGCACTCTCTGGTTGAACTGCTGCACGGCGGAGGCACAAGAGGAAACTGCAGCGGGTGGTGAGGGCAGCAGGGCGGGCAACTCACTAAACCCCCCTCAAAGACATTTATACTGGCAGACTTCAACAAAAAGCCAGCATCATCATCAAGGACCCCTCGCACCCTGGACACTCACTTTTCCCCCCCTTCCCTCTGGTAAACGCTACAGGTCCATCAAGACGAAGACAAACAGACTTAATAGAAGTTTTTACCCACAAGCTTTCAAACATGCCCTACCTCAACCCTGATTGGAGGATAACTGCACTGCCAACACCCATGGACCCTATTTATAAACTGTATTTCTATGTATACTTTAAGGAGGTAGGAATGTTGGTTGCATTAAACTGTATTTATTATAACACTATTTAATATAGTTGCAACAATGTGCAATATCAACCCCCCCCCCCCCCCACACACACGCACACACACACACTCAATATGCAATATCACTGATGTGTGTGTATATATATGCAAGCGTGTATGTGGAAATATAAAGTACGCATGCATATATGTATGTATATATTTATATATGTATGTATGCATGGATGTATCTGTATATATACAGGTGTATGTATAACTTGTACATATCTTTCTTGTGTAAATGTAAATTTGTTTGTGTTATTGTGTAAATACTTATGCTATTGTGTACTTAACACACACACACAGATGCCAAACTGCTTTCCATTGTTTTTGTAACAATGACAATAAAGAGCTATTCTATTCTATTCCGAACGCGCGGCAGTGATGGCGACAGAGCACGTCCGGAGGCCGGCCACACGGAAGGCAGATGTGGCGACAGAGCACGTCCGGAGGCTGGCCACACGGAAGGCTCCTTCAGGGGGCCGGCCTCGATGGCGATCACGTCCAGCTAGAGGCCAGGAAAGCGGCCGGTGAAGGCGAGGTGGTACAGGCCGAGCTGGATCAGACGGTGGTGTAGCAACCGTAGCGGCCCCTGGGACCCTCCAGCTGAGACAGACTGCTGAACGGGCCCCTGGACCCTCCAGCAAAGACAGACACAGGACCAGCAGGCACAGAGACCTCTAGCGAGGACGGATGAGAACTAGCAGGCGCAGAGACCCCTATCAAAGACAGATCAGAACCAGCAGGTGCGGGGACCTCTGGCTGACACAAAGGTAACTTGAGCTGCGCAGGGGCCTGGCTCAGCCCAGGCAGCGCTGACATGGTGCAGTTCTTAGGGGACTGCTTAACCTCCAGGAGGCCAGAATCAGCTGGGGACTGAGACCTAGCCTCTGGGGAGACCCTGGAGTGAATAACTGCACCTAAAGCAGCTAAGTTACGAGAAACACCCTGGTTGGGAATGAGATTATCTCCCTGAATAGAGATGATGGATGGTTGAGTGGCCGACAGAACTGAAGACTGAGCTACAGGTAGCGGGGACACTGGAGACTGAGCTACAGGTAGCGGGGACACTGGAGACTGAGCTACAGGTAGTGGGGACACTGGAGACTGAGCTACAGGTAGCGGGACACTGGAGACTGAGATAGTGGCAGCTGGGCAGGTGACTCGGGCAATGCTGACTTTTTAGTCTCTAGGGGTCCACAGGCAACTGAGGGAGGAAACTCAGCCTCTGGGGAGGCCCTGGAGAACATTTCAATTACTGCAACATTACCACTTAATGTCTTTGAATGAGTGTCAGTAGTCCAAGAAATGAAACATTCGGGTGCACACTGAACAGTCTCTTGAGGTGGCAGCTTGGAAAACAAAACAGTCTTAGTATCATCAGAGCTGGGGTTAATTGTCTCTGGGTTGAAAGCCACAGCTTTAGCACACTCTGGGATAGCTGATACGGGGTTAACAGACTCAGAGAGAGTTAATCCAGGCTCAGAAGAAGCAGAAGAAACACAGCCCTTTGTTTTCTCAGAAGTCTTAAAAATACCAACCTGGGAGAGGTCACATACTATGAAGGTAGATAAGCTACGCATATTAGCTCTCATCAACACACCCCGAACAACCCCAGAAGAAAAAGTCCCAAAGGTCAAACCAGTAATATTGTCCTCTTTAATCACCACAGTCGGCCGCTCTGATATCCCGAGGTCCGACTGTGGTCAGGGGCGTTGACGGCGTAAGCACCGTTTCCCTTTCAAAGGCTGGGCCGATGGGCCGGGCAGCGAAGCATTAGTTGCTGGGTGGGTGGTAGCAGCCGGGGGTGAAGGTGAAGCTTGATCAGAAGAAATTCGGTGCGAGCAGGTGAAGTGAGCCAGGGGAGACCAGAAACCAATCGCTGTAGCCGGTTAGCCACAGCTTAGCGAAATTCTTTCCCCTCATGCTCCAATAACAAATTAATTAATTTGTCCACAGAGCTAAACACCATATAACGCAGACAAACCAGCAACTAACAGAGGCAGACGCAAGGCTTAAATACACAGAAGGATACCAAGGGAATGAAACATAGAAGGAGGGCACAGTTGGGAGTAATTAGACATGACGGGACAGGGGAAACAAAAACTAAACACACTAACATCAGCCACGGACCTTCAAAGTAAAACAGGAACTCACACATGCAAAGACACAGACTTAGAAACACTGACTTTACACAGAGGAATACACATGCAGAAATGACTAAACACTAAACTGAAGAAGAACAGAACCAAAAACCAAAGAGCAAGAAAACCAGAACCAAAATACATCACAATAATAGAAAGCACAAAACGCTGGGTCAACAGACCCAGGATCATGATTATTCTGTTCTATTCTGTTCTATTCTATTCTATTCTTTGTGAATTTACACAGCTGAATTCAGCAAGATGTAAGCAGATGTTTCGTATCTATTTTCATTCTTTACACTGACAGTATAGTGTTAACACTATCTTTATACCGGACAGTATACAATTGGTATAAAGGTGGAATTCAGTCTAATCTAAGCATCATCAGTTATAATTCAAAGTATTAATTCATCTCTGTGTGGCTGGGTGTGGTTTGTGGCTCAGCTGCAGAGGATGGATGGAACAGTGGGTTCTGGGTGTGTTGGAAGGCTAACTCACACACTTGATATCGATCATACAATCATGTCCCCCCCTTTTGAGGATGTTGCTGGGACCGGAGAGGAGATCTGTGCATGGTGTGAACCCAGATGAGGACATCTGGAAAGCTTTTGCAGGGAATGCAAATAAAACAAACTGTGTGGGTCCCAACCCAAGCCGCCAGTAATATGGACCTGTGACAGATCCAGCCAGCTGAGGTCCTGGCCCATATGGTGGGTGAGCTGGCGGCCATGCAACAGGAGCAGGCAGTGGTGTTTTACCGCCAGTTGTAACAGTGGCAGGATCAGTCTGAACCCTGGATAAAGGTGTTAGAGAGTCTGATTGCTTGGGCTGGTTCCCTGCTGACACTGCCACCAGGAGGTCTTTCAGGTCATGGCAGAGCCATGCCATTGGAGGAGGAGTGGGCACTGAGGTTGCTCCCACTGAGGTCCAACAAAGCCCAGGCAGCGCCTCTCAGCTTGCCCTTGCCCTAGGTCTCACGGCAAAAGATTATCATTAGCGTTTCCGGGAGGGCTGGATGGAGCCAGAGGACTGGCTTTTCACCTGGCATAGGCAAACAACCGGCAGCAGTCGCAATTGGCCACGAACCTCCTTCGCTCTGCCGTTGCTCCACAGGTCCCAGGTAGTGGGACTGGTGTTCTGTGTCGCTGGCCCTCCAACACCTTCCCTCTTAATGATACACTGTATGTCTCTCTAAGGTGCTGAGGGGGTATACACCAGGCTATGGTGGATGCAGATCCTGGTCCAGCAAACCCTTGTTTGGCCCAGGGCATTGTTGGAAGAAAAATTAAGTTGTGCATGGGGATGTACACATATATCCCATAGTTCTGCTGCAAATAAAATACAAGGGCAAAATGCATAGTGTAAAGGCTATAGTTAGTACATGCCTGACTAACTATAACTATATGTTATATCTGGGGACAGTTTCGCCTAGGTTTAATAATTGCATGTTTACGACCTTTAGCAGCATGTAGTGTGTGCGCTGCACTGACTGTTGAGGTGACTTTGGAACTTTATTTTTTACAATAATTATAGATGTTTTAAGGCTGTAAAACCCCTCACTACACACTTTATACACTTTTCTCAGACAGGCATCAATAGTGAGGAACCACTGTAAGCTAAATTCGAATTTGAATTGCTCAGATTGAATCTCAATTGCTCAACTCAAATAAAATTGAAAAAAGTAAAATTGAACTCCATCCATCCATCCATTCGCTTCCGCTTATCCTTTTCAGGGTCGCGGGGGGCGCTGGAGCCTATCCCAGCTGTCATAGGGCGAAAGGCGGGGTACACCCTGGACAGGTCGCCAGTCTGTCGCAGGGCTAACACACAGGGACAGACAACCATTCACACTCACATTCACACCTAGTGACAATTTGGATTAATCAATTAACCTATCCCCACAAGCTGCATGTCTTTGGACGGTGGGAGGAAGCCGGAGTACCCGGAGAGAACCCACGCAAACACGGGGAGAACATGCAAACTCCACACAGAAAGACCCCGGCCTGATGGTGTAATTGAACTCAGGACCTTCTTGCTGTGCGGCAACAGTGCTAACCACCGTGCCACCGTGCTGCCTTATAATATATAAAATTGAACTCAAATTCTAAAATTGAATTTGAATTAGCCTAATTTGAAATCCAATGTACTGGTTTGAAAATGATTGTCACTAAATGAAGAAATTTATTTAAAATTGTATTCCAGTACATTCCGGTACATGTATTCCGTTACTCCCCAACACTGCATGCATCTATAGTAACATTAAATGACCAGTGGGTTGCACAGTATGGAGTGACACAGCAGTATCCAGTGTAGTGGTTTATGTGCAAACATACCATTAACACTGACACAAATACAAGAAAACAGCCTTTGAGTAGCTGTCCACTATAGTGACTACTATGCATGAAAGGGTTAAAACACTCAAACTTCAATGAAAGAGGTGATCAACACTTTTATATGCTCAAGTGCATAGTGTGGAGGACCTCATAAGGCCTTAGGGCAATCAGATGTAAAATACAACATTTATGTGTGTTTTAAATTGTAAGTCCATCACATTTGACTCCTTCTGGGGGGTGGGGGGGCCCTTGGACCTTGGGCCTCTGGGCCTGGGGCTCGGTCCACTTTGGCATGGCTAGCTGCTGGCAGAGCCCACAGGCATGTCACTGCAGCTCCCTGTGGCTTCTGCATGGTGACTGCTGGCTGACCCCACACCTAAGGCTCCTTTCAGCTCTTTCCCTGAGGGTGGCACCGTTGCCCTTCTGATGGTCCTTCTTGGGCTTTTATGCTCTGGGAACCTCTGGATGTCTGGGCCTGGATCTCCTCCATGCCTGTTTCATGCGCCGGGGACATGGCTATGGCTTCCCACAGCAGATCATTACATGGAGAAACCTTTTGAATACAAGTGTTCACACAGGTGTCCTGTGGTCCTCACAGACACAAACTATATCTTCCTTGGCTGCTACCTCAAAGCACATTGTGTGCTTGTGTGGTCTTGCATGCTGCACAATACATTCAATATTTAGTATTTACTGTTGCTTACAATTATCTACGTACTTGCAATGTTGTTGTGTTTATTGTATTGCTCTTTTTTTGCTTTTTTTTTCTCTTTTTTCGTTTTTGCTTTTCTCTCAACAGGTGATCAGGGGATTTTTACCTTTTTTTTTTTAAATGTTTTCTCTCACTGTCTCTTTCTTTCTTTCTTTCTTTCTTTCTTTCTTTCTTTCTTGTCCCCCAGTCATATGTGTCCCATCTGCAAAAATTTAAAAATTAATTAATTAATTAATTTAAAAAATCGAGAAACAAGGTTGTGCCTACATTACATGCTTCCACTTAAATGGATTGGATTACTCAGTACTTACTGAAACAGGGTCAGTTTCTTGGTGAAAATCATGGACCAATAAAAATGTTTGGTGCTTTTTCCTCTATTATTTGTAGGAGGCATACTCCGTGGCACGACAGTTCAACATGATCCCTCCAATTTGTGAACAGGCAGAGTACCACATGTTCCAAAGAGAAAAGGTTGAAGTGCACCTTCCTGAACTCTTCCACAAGATAGGTAAGCAAGCCACCACTGATGTGTACAGCATCATGTCCCGAAAATTATGACTGTTCATTCTTAACTCTAGAACACTTAATGGAGTTTGTAATCCTATCAATATTACTTGCACATGGAGAAAAATTACCTGACCTTGGTGTTCTAAATTTAATTAGTATGTTAATGCATTTTCTAAGATATTCAATCAGCAACGCTAATATCTGATCCTTGTTTATCCAAATGTTCTCTATTACATCAAAACTATCTCCACTTGTGTTGAGCACGTGTGGAGGAATGTACCTATGTGAAGTGTCGGGAAGGTTACTTTTAAAATATATTCTATTACAGATTACAGAATACATGCCTCTAAATGTATTGTGTAGTGTATTCCGTAACTTTACTCAATGAGAATAATGTATTCTGAATACTTTGGATTACTTAATATATTATCAAGCTTTTTACAACTACATGGATCTACTATTGCTATGTGATTTATTACTATTACTGAGGGTTACTCACCATACCAATACCAACTAGATCTTTAAATCTTAATATCAAATGAGTAACAGTAGGGTGGACATTAGGTAAGGCTGCGATTTTTTGCAGTGATCTTGTATAGAAAATTATTCAGCACATACACTCAACAAAAATATAAACGCAACACCTTTGTTACTGCTCCCATTCCCCATGGGATGGACGTAGAGACCTAAAATTCATTCCAGATACACAATATAACCATCCCTCCCAAACAGTGGTCACAAATCAGTCCAAATGTGTGGTAGTGGGCACATCTGCTATATTGAGATAATCCATCCCACCTCACAGGTGTGCCACATCAGGATGCTGATCTGACATCATGAGTAGTGCACAGGTGTACCTCAGACTGCCCACAACAAAAGGCCACCCTGGAATGTGCAGTTTTTTGTGCTATTGGGGGTCTGGGGACCCAGAACCGGTCAGTATCTGGTGTGACCACCATTTGCCTCATGCAGTGCAACACATCGTCGCATGGAGTCTATCAGATTGTCAATTGTAGCCTGTGGAATGTTGGTCCACTCCACTTCAATGGCTGTGCGAGGTTGTTGGATATTCGTGGGAACTGGTACACGCTGTCGTATACGCCGGTCAAGCACATCCCGAACATGCTCAATGAGTGACATGTCCGGTGAGTATGCTGGCCATGCAAGAACTGGGACATTCTCAGCTGCCATCTGCCCTGAACAATGTGAACCATGATTCATCCGTGAAGCGCACACCTCTCCAACGTGCCAGACGCCATCGAATGTGAGCATTTGCCCACACAAGTCTGTTACGGCGACGAGCTGGAGTCAGGTCAAGACCCCGATGAGGACGATGGGCATGCAGTTGAGCGTCCCTGAGACGGTTTCTGACAGTTTGTGCAGAAATTGTTTGGTTGTGCAAACCAATTGTTCCAGCAGCTGTCTGGGTGGCTGGTCTCAGACGATCTTGGAGGTGAACCTGCTGGATGTGGAGGTCCTGGGCTGGTGTGGTTACACGAGGTCTGCGGTTGTGAGGCCGGTTGGATGTGCTGCCATATTCTCTGAAACGCCTGTGGAGACGGCTTATGGTTGAGAAATGAACATTCAATGCACGGGCGACAGATCTGGTTGACATTCCTGCTGTCAGCATGCCAATTGCATGCTCCCTCATTGCTTGTGGCATCTGTGGCATTTTGCTGTGAGACAAAACTGCACATTCCAGGGTGGCCTTTTGTTGTGGGCAGTCTGAGGTACACCTGTGCACTACTCATGATGTCAGATCAGCATCCTGATGTGGCACATCTGTGAGGTGGGATGGATTATCTCAATATAGCAGATGTGCCCACTACCACACATTTGGACTGATTTGTGACCACTGTTTGGGAGGGATGGTTATATTGTGTATCTGGAATGAATTTTAGGTCTCTACGTCCATCCCATGGGGAATGGGAGCAGTAACAAAGGTGTTGCGTTTATATTTTTGTTGAGTGTATATAAAACAGGTCTGTTGCTCCGAACCGTAGTAAAGGGACCTCTGGCTAATATGTTTGATTCCGTGTCGACCTTGTAGCCGAAAGATTACAAAAGCTCATTACAAAACAAAGACAGCTTCTTCGTTAGCACTTGTCTGGGACAACTTTGCTAGCGAGAGACAGAGAGAGGCATTGAAAGGTTGCTTATTGTTTCGGAGGAAAACACGAACACAGTGTACAGTCAAGTCTTTTTGGCTGCAGTGGTTGTTATTATATTTACATGCTTCCATCTCCCGTCTCTGCTCAGTGATAACTCGTACTTTTCAACTCTCCTATTTTTGAACATAACGGGTATAGGGCAATGCTTGGAACACTCTGCTCATATCACTTTCATATTAAATAACTTTTTGAATAATAATTTTAAACAATATTTCTTCATGTGGGCCACAAGTAGGGGTGACATGGACCGCGAAATTGACACACAGGCATTAGAGCCTCTTAATGCGTGTTTTGTTTGGGATTCCACCAGTGTGGAATTACCAAAAACAGAGAGAGCAAAGCCTAACATATGAAACAGGAAAAGACCGCCATGTAATCCATTTATTTCAACAAAGTTGATAGGTTTGTAGCTTGAACCTATTCGCTGGAACGTTGAGGACAATATAATTACACAGCAAAGCAAGACACGAGTAGGCAAAGTTCTTCATGTTACTCATGCATGAGGGAGACCACTCCTTTTATTGTGGTTACATGAATATGCATAGGGTCATTAACATATGACGTCTACATACACACAAAGAGTACTTTGCCTGTGTGTGTGTGTGTGTGTGTGTGTGTGTGTGTGTGTGTGTGTGTGTGTGTGTGGTGAGGTCAAGATGTGACCCTGTGAAGAGTCTAGCGGGTCCATCTGAACAAAAGGCTCTTATACTTAAACAGATATACGTGTGTTTGCTAAACCATATATCAGAAAGAGAAGATACGATCTCTCCTAGGAGGTGTGTGATCTATGCCAGAACACTCTAGAGAGGAGTGAACGCACTCCCCTCTTCATGCTACACAGAGTTGTTACAGACCTCCTAGGATGAGACATTATTTCAATCTACAAATGATTATACACCTCTAAGCATATATGGTTAAATATTTCTAAGCATAAATGACAATCAACAAGACAAAACCTAACATTCCCCCCTTTTTGACCTTTATGCTTGAAAAGCTCCCAGTTATGATCACCTCATGTCTGACAGTGTCAATGCAAACATTTTTATATTCAGCATATGTCAAATCACCCTAAATTACCGAAAAAGTACACAGTTTAATAAATGTATTAGCAGTTATCCCATTCCTCATTGATCTCATCCAATGGCAAACTACATCCTACGAGCAAACAAAGAAATTGTTAATTTAATAGTTAAAATAAAAAAGTAACATTTTCAAAAACATCTCAGCTTGGTGGTGCTTCCTCCGGGTGTGCAAATCACATGTCTCTCTGCAGAGTGGTTTGAGTTCTGCAGGGCGTCATGAATGTCTCTTCCAGTTGTTTCCATCAGTGTCCATAGGACCAGAGTCCAAATGTATGTAGAATAGACATTCAAACATACCAGTTGGTTTTGTTGTTTGTCAACATGGGTCTCAGCTATTTCCAATGCTGCAGACCTCATAGGAAACTGCTGTTATCACCACCATAGCTTCTGGTTCCTGTGCTTTTCACAGAATCATGATGTCATCCTTAGACTCCCTCTGCGTCGTCGATGGAGCTTGGCACGCTCCCCTCATCCCTCGAGTTTTCATGTCCCAACGCTGCTGAAGATTTAAGGCAGAGCACGTCGTACACCTTAATTGTCTTCCTCAGCGTCAATATTGAATCTTTCATTTTATTTAAATCTTGCTGTGGGAAGTCTCCTCTTGATCTCCTGGAAGCTCAGTAGCACAGCTCTCTGTGTGATGTCTGCTGTGCTGAAGATGATCTCTGATCCTCCTGAAGTCTCCCTCCTGGCCTCAGCTCCCATCTTGTGGACGATCCTCTCAGGCACTCCTTCTCGTCACGCATAGTCCTGATTTTGGGCCTGCTGGACCTGTCTCAAAACACTCAGCTTCTCTGCCTTCCTCCTGGTTCAGCTGATTCAGCCGTCACGCCTCGCACTTGGTTGCCCTAGAGTTGATCAGAGGCTGGAGGTTGAAGTGCGAGCTTACCCTACAGGGGCTCAATCAGCACTCCCCCCTCACCACTGAAACAACCAAGTGTGAGATTTCTCTATTGTGCTGTCTTGAGGGTGCTGGGGTTTCCTGGGACCTCGACCTCTTTGCAATGGCTCTGATAAATCCAGGAGGGTCTCTCCGCTATTTTACAGGCAGTTGAAATGGTCAGAAGCACTTGAATTGGCCTCTGGAACTCCCCCTTGGTACAGCCCTCATTCCAACGCAGTTTCATGGTCCTTGCTGTGGCTCCAAGGTCAGATTTCATGATGGGCCCCAACCAGCTTGACCTTTGACCTCAGCCACTGCCTGGGCTGTCAGCTATGCACTTCTCACTGGGCCTCTGAAGATTTCTCAGGAGATTACTGCTGCACCTGTATTTGCTTGCTAGGAAGACAAACTATTTGGAGAGCATGTCAACAATCATTAAACCACATTCTTTAGTTCAGTGAACTTCACTTATAGGCCATCAAAGTTTCATCTGAACATGGATGCACCACTTGCATAGGTTTAATACCCGTAAATAAACGGCTAATCACACAAATCACTGCAACAATAATAAAAAACATTGTTTAATGTTAATTCTGGACCCCACCTCTTGATTCATGGACACTCCCACGAGTCAACTCATCAAACCTGGATCCCTATCTTAAAGAAAAAAGGTTAGCTAGATCATATCCCAGGCAACATCAGGGCATCTCCTCCCCAGGAGCAGCACCACCCTGGACCTATAATCCTGCAATGAAAATCTTAGTGTGTTTTGCATATTAAGTCTGCTTAACACCTGGCTCTCCCAGGAGCCTGCATACACACCATCATGGCCTGGAAAGCAAGATTTGGAAGTAAAATCAAACTT